AGGAATGGACTGGTCCCCATAGGAACCGCTAGTTCCAGTTCGGTCCAATTTCAAGCAGTTTCTGATTCTTTTACACACCCCTACGTATAATATTATGTACATCATCATAAGAAGAGTAGGAGACCTCTATATATATGGAGATACAACAATTAGACTTAATTACAAAGTTAAGGTAATCCACTATTAACCTAATCCTTAATCGTAATCTTAAATTTCTCTCTAACGCTCAGAACGTAGAATTTTTCTCACATTCACCTTCAATGAAAAAAGTATTTTTTTAGAGATTATATTTATGATTAGCATTTGTACAAGCGAGAGTTGGGAAATCAACAGTCGCTAAATGTTAGAGTAATTAAATATTAAACCATGCCTTCATTTAGCAGCTTAAGCTTTTAGAATAATTGGCCGTGGTCCTACCAAAATCTCATATGGTATCAGAGTTGGAGGTCCTGAGTTCAAATCTTTCCAAGCCCCAATTACCTCCCCTATTAAAAATGTCCACTCTTAGTGCTAGGTAAAAAAATCAGACTAAGCGTGAAGGAGAGTGTTAGAGTTATTAAATATTAGATCATGCCTCATCTAACAGTTTAAGCTTTTAAAACAGTTGGCTGTGATCCCACCAAAATCTCACACTAAACGAATAGATGCTCATCGTGTACAAGTCATTTTCTAGTAATTTCTCTTTCTTTAAAGTGATTTTCTAGTAATTTCTCATTGTAGGTGGATGCAATACAAATAGAACTAAAGACAATTTGGGGGTACACTATCCACTTATTTGTTCATTTTATAACAAGAATTTCAACCCTATAAAAATTCAATTTTCTTGCATAAATGAATTTCCAATTTTCTTGCACTGCTTTTGAATATAACAATATTCTTTTCGATTGATGTAGGCAATTTCCAATCACAATATTGCACATATCCTTACTTGTTTATCTTTTGTCTTGTACGATGTATGTTCTTATATGATCGATGCGTGTGTGTGTGTCTACGTTTGTTTTCTTCTCTTTTATGTCTCTTTTTGTTGTAGCCATTTCCAATTCCACATTATCCTTGATTCCTTTCAATGTGGTCCTTTTGTACACACATCCCTTTCGATTGAAGCAATTTTATTTTGGCAGTACTCTTTTTTAAATACCAACAAAAGAGAAGAATAGTCTCTTCTAGTTCTCTTATTATTTTTTGTTTTCTTTTTCCCACCCTTTTTGGCCCACTTATTCTGGATTTTTGTGTTATTTCAGCAGGACCACGCAATGTTGGTCCCAATCCGTTTATGGCTATCTTGTTGTGTGTTCCAATTGCTCCTTCACCTTTAACCCCCCCTCCTCTTCCAACCACCACCCCATGATCATGATCCAGTGGTCCAGGCTAATTTTTCGCAAATGTGAAGTCACGAGGTCGAAATCGTTTAGCGAAAAAGAATGCGTTCGTATCAGTGAATTGATTTATCGGAAAGAGGGTTTAGGCGCGTATGAAATCATGTTAACATCTAAATCTGTGTTGAATGCGGGGCCTCGGTAGTAATCTTCCCGACATAATCTCTCGAAATTTAATGACGTCTGCTGTCGAATTTACACATTATTGAGAAACACTCACGTGAACTTGGTCCGTCGGGGTTCAACTCAATGACACATCTCGATTTCTGTAGGGTTGGTTCACACACCAAAGGCCAAAAGGTACATAGTCCCGTGATCAGTTCTGCCTAACGCATTTGATTGGAGTTTGATGTAATGGGTCCAGGGTTAAAAGGGTATTTCTTTTTTGACTAACAAAGAGAGATTTCTTAGAAGATTCGAAGAACAGAGCTCGATCACGCACCAGTCAATTATCTATATCTTGCTAAACACGAGTGTTGGCCTATTTGTTATATATGACAATTAAGTAGGTCAATCCCGAAAAAAGGAAAAGCTTAGAGGCACGCCAGGAGTGTGTATAGGTGAGAAAAAGAAACTCTTATATGTAAATTTTAGGAGAAAATTCACCAAATATCTCAAATTATGTTTACCGTGACAAATTTATCATGAATTTTTTTATGACATAAAAAACACCCGAACTATGCCCACTGCAACGCATTTATTCTAAACTTTTTCTTGTGACGTAAAAAACTACAAACTTGTAACTGTGCGGCACATTTACTCTCTTTCGAGACCCCATTAGAAGATTTTTAAGCCAAAACGTCACTTAAACACCGTTTGATGCTCGTTGACAGTAACTTGATAGAGGATAAATATGTCGCACAGACACAAATTTGGAATTTTTTGTGTCATGAAAAAAAGTTTAGAGTAAATATATCACCATAAACATAATTTTAGGTTTTTGATGGCTTCTTCCCTAAATTTATTAACCGTTGGATTTGTGGATATTGCAAATAACACGTGGAGCCTATTTGATCCAACGATTCGAGCATGCCGAGCTTGCCGGCACGAGCACACATATAACGACACATGTTTTTAATCGAAATATTTCAAAAAAATTTGTACATATCTCTAAAATTATTGGGTGTTGACAGGTCATCTGTACCGTGCCTTGTCATCTCTTTCACGTAAATAAGGACAGCCACATGTGCCTTGGTCTCGACATCCTTTGGTATAATTCCAAAATGCATGGATCATGCAAGGTTGATCTTAAAGATGACTAGGCAGGCATGATCGGATTAGGATGGACTCGAGCTGTTGACTTACCCAAAGAATCGAAATACACAAAACGTGTATTCTAAAGCATCATTGTCAAAAGGGACATGAAATGAGCGTAATTATCGATTTTTGAAAATCTGAAAAATCTGTTTTTTTTCTTCACGATAGGGTTTGATTCGGGGCTTAAGATAAAGGGCAAAAACTATTAAAAATCCTAAATTTTGCCCACTATGACATGGCAAAGTGCAACAAAAATAATGTTATTTTAGCTAAAAGATCATCTAACGGAATTTTGACGGATGATAAATAATGAATATGTCATATAGGCACAAGTTTAGATTTTTTATGTCACAAAAAAAAGGTTAGGTTAAACATGTCACACTACACGACTATTACTGTGAAGAAAGGGGTTAATTTTATGAAAATTCCAAATATTAAGTCCAATCCCAGTTCTGCTCCAAACTTTGTCTTTTTGTCTAAAAAAAATTCTCAACTTTCATTATGATCCCAAATTTACCTGCGAGTCCAAAGATATTTACTGATTTCTTCAAAGCTATTGATATTAGGAGGCTATTATAGTTCCATACGAAGGTGAGTGTGTTGATTAATATCCGGGTTCTGATAAGGAACTTCTAATTGGCCTTGATGTAGATAATTTTAGGAACGCTAGTGGTGATTTTTGGAAGGAGTGGGTAAGTTTAGGGACTAGAATAAAAGTTGGGGTTTTTTTAGACAAAAAAGAAAAGTTTGAGGCATAATTGAAATTAGACCTAAAGTTGAGGGTTTGTGTATCACGATAGGAATGTGGCAGTTTTCCCATCTTACATATTTGAACTTTGTTATTGTTATTGATTGCACTAGCCCATACCCTAGAAAGTGGCTCTTATGGATTGTGCATATACAATGATTTGAAATATCTCTTTTTATCCTTTTAATTTGTGCGGTCGGTCGATGTGATATCACGATAGGAATGTGGCAGTTTTCCCATCTTACATATTTGAACTTTGTTATTGTTATTGATTGCACTAGCCCATACCCTAGAAAGTGGCTCTTATGGATTGTGCATATACAATGATTTGAAATATCTCTTTTTATCCTTTTAATTTGTGCGGTCGGTCGATGTGATACTTAGAGGCATACCCTTGTGAAGCAATATTGTCCTTTGATTTTGGTCAAAGAAAGCTCCCTAATCCAACCATACCTCCAATTGGTGAATCATAAATTATGAATATGACCTATATGCAAACTTAATCAAAATTAAATATGGATAATATCCATATTGATAATCCATCAATGAAGACACGATTAGAGGAAAATTCTTCCGACCTACATAGGCCCCTTGAAATTGACATCTTCAATGTGGAACCTTGACTAATAGCAGGCATTAATCACTTTTTTTCTTTCTCACGGCATGTTGAATCGATTTTGAAACCTTAAGTGTCATTGAAATTATATTCTCAAGGATATTCTCTGTGCTAGAGAGCAAATTTTCACGAGTTATGACACAAACGGATTAGAGAAAACTTCTTCCGACCAACATAGCCCACTTGTAATTGATATCTTATAATTTTGAACCATGACTAATAATAGACATCAATCACTGTTTTTTTTTCGCATGGTACGTTGAATCGACATAGTACCTAAAGTATCATTGAAATTATATTCTCAAGGATATTCTCTTTGCTAGAGAGCAAATTTTCAAGAGTATTAGCGACACAAATGGACGGGCTCATGGAGATAACAAAAAAAATATACTTGTTAATGAAAAAATTACTGCAATAATTAAACGATGAGCCGATTGATCCGTACGATGTTAGTACATCGTAGGAGCAAGAGAAGAAAAACGATGGCCATCATCCCAGGTAGAGAAGTACAGACAAAGGTGAAACATGTTAAAGTTACACTTTAACTTTTATAAATTAAGGGCCCTTTTGCTATTCATAAAACAAAAAGAATGATCATTTACTATGGTAAATTAGATCGAGAGACAGGTTATCAAAAAATGCGATTCATTTGTGCAGCAGCAATTCACAAAGAGAAGATATAAAAAGAAAACAAAAAGCAGAAAAAAAAAAAAAAGGATGAGAAAAGCAATCACAACACGTGTTCTCTTCTGCTCCTTTGATTCCTCTGTCATCTTCCATCACCCGTCTCTTTCACTGTAGTCACGACTGACAGCTGCCAGACACCCCCACGACATCACCCATCCATCCATGGAACATCATCATGTTTCGAACCAAAACCTCATCATGTCTCCATATACATGATACCCACGTGATAATCTTTGTTCTTTCTTCGGAAATAATCGAAGAAATTGCGGAAAAAGCTCACCTTTTTCGCTCCCTGGGATCCAGCCTTTTTATAAAGCGGCCTCCGTCTCTCTCCCTCTCGCACATTCATCTTCAACAGAGAGAGAGAGAGAGAGAGAGAGAGAGAAGGAAGATGGGACTCGTTTCTTGTGAATGCGGATCTGGGTTTTCTTCGGCCACGGCAATTGCCCAAGAAACCACGCAAAACGAGGCCTTCCTCGATGCCCATCACGAGGAATGGCCGTTCTTGATCTCGCCCACCTACGACGCAGCGGAAGCGGTGGACGGCACCGAGAAGAAGAGGAAGGAGAAGAAGCTGGAGAAGAAGAAGAGCCAGGTGTTGCTCGAAGGGTACGTGGAGGCGGCGGACGAGGACGACCTGGTGAGGACCAAGAGCTTGACGGACGAGGACCTTGATGAGCTCAAAGGGTGCTTGGATCTTGGTTTCGGGTTCAGCTACGACGAGATTCCTGAGCTCTGCAACACCTTGCCCGCCCTCGAGCTGTGCTATTCGATGAGCCAAAAGTTCCAGCTCGACGACCACCAGAAGTCGCCGGAGAGATCCGCCACGCCATCGTCCGCGGCGGAGTCCCCTCCGGCCGCGGCTGCCAGCCCCATCGCCAGCTGGAAGATCTCTAGCCCTGGTGAGCACTACGTCGAAACCTTCTGATTACCAGGCAAACAAAAAGAAAAAACAGATTCCAAGATTATTTTCTGTATGTGTGATTAGATCTATTGACGTCGATCTAACTTTGAGGTCTTGACCGAGTTGAGGCAATGGTGTTAACTGTTTTATTTCCTCAAGAATTCATTTTGCCTTGCTTCAACTTGATATGTGGTGGTGCTTTAGGAGATGCAATTATAGTGAGCTGTGGCTTTGATGGTTTTGTTTTGTCTGCTCTTGTTAGTCGCTTAGGTCCTGAATTTCTGGTTTTAAAAATTGGAATTGATTGGATTTTGCAAATTGTAGTTGCTCTCCAGAAAGCGTCTCGGTTGTCTTCATAAAAACAGTTTACAGGGCTTCAACCGTTAACCATAGAATGAATTCCAGTTTTTCTGTGGTCTCTGGTTGTCAGATTTGTAATGTTTCCAAGCTAACTGATGCTGGGTGAAGTAGCAAATTTTAATGTAAATAATTGGTGAATTTGCCTTTGGTCCTATCGGTTCTCACGTTATTCTTTAGTTTCTTTATGTTTGATATGTATGTGGAATGAAGTTTGAGAGTAAATGCATATCTAGCCCCCATCATGCTGTTCTAAGATCCATGTAACTGCGGCCTGTGGAGACTCTAATTCTCTGGTGCTTAAATGGAGTTAGGACTCGATGATCTATGATGTCTGATCTTCTATCACCGACACTTGCACATCTCCACTTATTACTTTTCAGTTTTGGGGCATCAACGTTCTAATCTTCCATTGCTGTCATTCTATCGGTCAGGTGATCATCCCGAAGATGTTAAAGCAAGACTCAAGTTTTGGGCTCAGGCTGTGGCTTGCACAGTCAGATTATGCAGCTGAAAAGCTCACAGGGAGACATACGTGGCTTCATTCATCAAGGAGAAACGCATCACTTAGCAATTTTGTCCTTGATGGGGTTGAATAGCCCGAATCTGCGAGACCATGCAATATTCCTATCTGTTTCCGCAAAGTCTCGGGTTGCAGGAACTGGAAACCTCTCTGCAATTTTGGAGCCGGGGTGGATATCCACCGAACATCGAATTGGCCGGCTTTGAAGAAGTTGAAGACAAGGGGACTAATGTCTCAGGTTCGAAATCAACCAACACTTCGTCTGAGACTGATTTAAATGTGACCAGAGGCTTAATTTTATATCGTACTTGTATTTGCAAGATTTAGAATAAATGTTTCATTTGCTGAATAATGCTTCTGGGTGATTCTTGTGCTATGTCTTCTGTGGCTGTCGGTTCCTCGACCTAAGCTGTTCCTTTTCCATGCAGAGGCGAGAATTGTTCTTTATTACAAGTTTTCTCCGATTAACAGCAGACCTCTGTGTAGGCCGAGGTACACTAATCTAACTGGGTGAATTAACTTTGGCTGCTCGCTATTATGGTCCATTTTGTTAGTTCTTGTTCGGTAACTCACCAAGTCTAACATGTGCTGACTTCTCTTCATCCATCTAATGGATAGATGATGAAGAACACCCATTTGGGCAATATTGTGGTGCCGACTGAAAATGGAGCAAAAGGAGGGAGTGAGAAGTAGAAAGATGCTGCTTCCGACACCTCCTAATAGGTCTCCACATCATCCATCTCTCTGACTTTGTTTTGTTGATTCTCTTGTCCTTTCTGTCGTATGAATTTTGGACAATTGCTAACTACAATGTGCTTGACAACCCGGTGGTTTGTGTTTGGTTCTTCTGTGATGGTTTTACATGTACTGGAAAATGCTCCACTTAAAAGTAGTCAACTGTAGATCTAGTTGAGAAACGTGTGGCTATCACGAGGATTCCAAAAGACTCGCATGAATGGCGTTGTTATCCGTTAATTCATTGTAACGGTTCGTAGTATTATGCGGCAGCTATGGCCTCCTAGCAAGTGAGATATCTGTATACCTGTAGCAACCTAGTGCTTGGACATGTTGCTTACATGGTGTTTTCAGATGATTAGTGCATTAGAGAGAGGAATTTCCATCATCATTTTCTGGATCTGGAGGTCATGTCTTATAAGGTCTCAGGTAATCTTGGAATATAAATGCAAAAGCAACCAGGTGGCCAGCTTTTGTTTCCGTGTAGCCGTGTTGGTCTAGTAGAGAAGAAGAAGAAGAAGAAGAATGGAGTTGTGTTGAGAATCTGGAAGTTCCTGGTCTGTTCTACAACTCCTAGTTCTTCCTTTAGAGCAGTCCATACAACCATTTCGCGATTTCTTTCTCAGTCTTTTGACTCCTGGAGCTAACATTTGTTACTTTGCCCGGCATGTTCTCTGCGAAGCTTGAAGTTACTGAAGATAACTGCATCGCCTTTTCGTGTGTTTTCCTTTTGTTGTTGAATTAAATACTTGGTACTTACGCTGTGCGATGTCACGAACTAATGATCTCCTTGACATCTTTAAGCGTTTTCGGCATGGCTCTCCGGATCGTGTCATGCACCATCGTTTAAGTGCATGTGTTCGAGGCCGTTCGTACTGCATTCGTCTCCCGAATCAGTCAGATGCGTCCTGGTTGAAAGCATCGCATCGAATTCCGTTCTATCGCTACAACCAAGTAGGATTGTCCCTGCACTATGTGAACCGAATTCTGTTCCATCGCTACAACCAAGTAGAATTGTCCCTGCACTTTGTGAACCGAGTGTCACTTGCGAAAGATGGTATGCGGTTGCATTCGACACGGTTTGGTTCTTCAATTGCCTGGCGGTACGGGTGTCAATGGGTCGGGTCGGGTTTTCATGATACCCGACCCGACCCGAAACAATGAATATGTGTGCTTGGCCCGACCCGAAACAAGACCCGAACATGATATAGCCACACAATCGGGTCGGGTCGGGTCATGTTCGGATCGGGTCGGGTTCGTGTTTTGGAAAGAGGGGACTCTGTTGAGGAGCTTTCTAATGCCAGAAAAGTGGAATCCCCCAATCTTTTGTCCAAGGGAGGATGCCTAGCAAGCTGGTGCTACCAGATTAAAACTTGCAGAAAAAGATTATTACAGGTTTGCATCAGTTTCACATATTTCATGGATGGAAATGCAAAGTATACAGTGTGGCTCTAACCAACATGTGAAATATGCAATGGAATTCGGCAACACAAGTTCTTCCAAAGAAAGAATATGTCGCCTTTTCACTACAAGGGATGTAAAAACAGAAATTGGTCATGTTCAAAGACCGGCAGAATGACCTCGTAATATACAATAAAAAAACACGAAAATGCACTCTTTATCTCTTACAAAAGTTCTAGAATGGAAGACTTCATTCAATTACTTCCAACAAAACCTGCTAAGCCTTCATAAAATCTTAACGATGGGATCCCAATAACGCGCATCATAATCCTAAAAGCATCCCACCTTATTTCAATATTCCAAAATAGAAAGGGACTTAACAAAACATCAAATAATCAACAAAAAACAAACATATAAAGAAGAAACACCCAGCCAAAGCATATATTCCGTTCTTCCCTTCTTCGAATAAGCTCGATAACCCAGAGGGGCTCAAGCATCAACACCAGAAGATAGCAACACCATCCATGAAACACAGCCAACAAAAAAGAACAGAAGCACCAAAACCCAACTTTCAATCAAAGCACGAAAGCAAATCAAATCTCAGCACAGAGAGAGACCCAGAAGATCGAAACCCCCTAACGAAGTGCGCGGTTTCGCCCACACCCAAAATGAACAAACAAGAAAAATGAAAAGCGGAATATCGCATCACACTACAACACAGCAACCCTCGAACTCCCAACAATTCAGCCCTCCGCCAATCCCTCAGCTAGCCGAACCCCAAAAATCACCAGATCGACGCATCACCGCCCAGCCACAGTACCGCATTGCCGTTCAGATCCGAGGCGAGACGGAACCCGCACGGATCAGATCGAGAAAAGCGACCAGGAACTCACCGGCTCCAGCTCCGTCAATGGCGCCGCATAAGGACGCGGGAAAAGGCCGACAGCCGCCGCCGACGCCGCCGCTCGAAATTGGAGGGCGGAGGGATTCAATCCGCAACCCGAGCGCGAGGGCGCTATGTCCAAGCGAGTGCCGCGAGTCACGCAACAGCGACCCCTTCCTCCTCCTCCTTCTTCTTCTTCTGCTCGTGGATTCAACAGCGACACTTTTCGTCAAGACGATGGAAGAACGAAGAAGAAGATAAGGTTACGTAATGTACCTCAGCTTGTTTCCTTGTTTCGGTTGGGCTCGGGTGCGAACAAGAAGAAGAGAGTGTTTCTTTGTTTCGGTTGGGCTCAGGTACCTGAGCCCAATTGTTTTTTCTGTTACCCAAACAAATTAAGATCCAACCCGACCCAATACGAAAATTTCCTATTCGGGTCGGGTCATGTTTGGGCGGGTTTTTTTGACACCCCTAGATGTCAGAGTAGAGAGAACAGAGGGGGGCTTTTTCGGAATTTCGGTCCAACTTTTATCAGGTTCTCTTTTTTTGTATTTTTCGGATTCCCAACTTTTTCGATATTTATTGACTTTTAATCAACAATTTATTTTCTTGCTGAAATTCTGATAAATGAATTTTGCATTAAAATATACAAGTCATTTTTTTCGAAATCTACTTCTACATTCCCCACCCCATCCCATTAATCCTCGACAGGAGACGTGATCAATCACACGGCTAATTTGGTGTGAACGACCAATCATATTGCCCCGTATAATATTTTTATCATTTTTCGTGGCGCTTAAATTTTCACCAATCACTCATTATGATTGGCTTATTTCACTCCGTGTCTTGACAGAGAGACATGATTAGCCAACGGCCTATCCATTTAACAACATTCGATCTCTCTCTACTTCTTTATTTTCGTTGTTCAAAATTGTACATGTTCTATTTATTTGGTTCGAAAACGCCCCCAAATAAGTTAAACACTTTGTCCAACTCAACATTTCGATATTCAATTTTTGACATTTTTGTCAAGGAACTTGATTGAAATACTAACGGTGGATCATTTCAAAAAGTTCAACGGCTGTTTCGAACCCAATGAAAGTACAGTGATAGAAAGTAGGGGTGTCAATGGGCCGGTTCGGGTCGGGTTTTCATTATACCCGACCCCACTCGAAACACCTGGCATGCCTGCTTGACCCGACCCGAAACAAGATCCGAACAGAATATTGCCAAGTGATCGAGACAGGACGGGTCGGGTCGGGTCAGTCCGGGTCGGGTTCCGTGTTTCAAATAATGAATTAGCAGTAGGGGTTCGTCCCCAAATCTTTGCCACATCATCGCCACGCTCTCGTGCTCCCTCCGGCGCCCGCCGGCTTCAGATCGATCGGAGAAATCGAATCTAAGATCATGAAGGCAGGAGGCGCTGCATCACTTCCGACGACGAGGAGAGGCGGTCGAGCTCGTCCATCATGACGGCGAGGTCGTCGTCGATGCAGCGGGAGATGAGGGCGTCGAGGTCGGAGTCGGGGAGCTGGTACTTGAGGGCGAAGGGGGGCGCGACGGCGAGGGTGGGGGAGAGGGGGGGAGGCGGCCGCGGAGGCGCGGTCGACGGTGACGATGTGGGTCTCGCCACCGTGGTAGAAGAGGGACTTGGAGTGGGGGCATGGGGCCACGCCTACGCTGTAGCTGCACATGAGGCGGAGCTTCGAGGAGGCGGAGGGTCGCGGCGGCGACGGCTCCATCGCGGCGAAGAGAGACGTGGAAGAGAGATTGCAAAAGAGATCGCAGAAGAGGTGAGAGAGGGAGAGAGATGTGGAAGAGAGATGTAAGGGTTTCTTGTTTGGGTTGGGCTTGGGTACCCAAGCCCAATAATTCAAAACAATACCCAAATATTTCTATTGTTACCCAAACAAATTAAGACACAACCCGACCCAATACGAAAATTTCCTATTCGGATCTATTCGGATCTATTCGGGTCGGGTCAAGTCGTGTTTGGGCGGGTTCTTTTGACACCCCTACCTGGCGAGACCAAACGAGGCTCTTTAATGGTTGCAGTCAAATTATGGTGTATGAGGAGTTCTCAACGGTGAATCCTGTATGTCTAACTGAATAAACTGGAGCTAATTTATAATGAGATGAATTTAGTAATTGACAGGATAAAATAACATCATATTTGCACTTATATAGTAATTAGTTAAAGACGATAAAAACTATACGTACAATCAGCTTTGACATTAAATTGAAAGTACACTCTTTTGGTCCAAACAAATTGATTTTCTCGATTGGATTCGACCAAATGCAATAATTTATCTATCTTTCCATTTATATAAAGCCAAAGGGTTAATACCATGAAAAGCTTCAAGCTGGTGATTAATTTAATTGAAACTAATTTTTTGACCATAAAAAATTTCAAACCGGTATTGTTGTGACAAATTTACCCCTCGTTAGTTTCTTTTAAACTTTACAGTTAAATTGTTTTGTTAAATGACACACAACAGTTGATGGATATACCAGTTTTGGGTTCTACCCTCCGTTTGTCACATGTGTACCGGTTTGTAATTTTTTATGGTATTAATTTAATTTAACAGAAAATAACAGAGTATAAATTTGTCACAAATATACCAGCTTTGGGTTTTTGAACGTCAAAAAATTAGTTTTGGGTAAATTTGTCATAAATGTACCATTTTAGGGTTTTTGGTAGTCAAAAAATTAATTTAGAGTAAATTTATCACAGATATATTAATTTAGGATTTTTCGTGGTATTAACTCTAAGAAAAACATCTTTTTATCATAAACTGGAGCTATTTGATGTCTTCCAATTCTTGATCCTCGTTAAAAGAATGACTTCCATAGGGAAATTTTCCATACTCCCAAACATGATGGATGTTGCCACTTCTTGCAGTTGCAAGAAACAACTTCTCAATATGCTATGCCTTGTAGCTTAGCCAAGTCAAAATTTTCATATCAGCCTTGAACCTGTGGTAGATAGACTAGGGTTTCTTGCAAGCTAGCAAAAAAAAAAAAAGTTCCCCCCATCTTTTTTTCTTTTTTTTGGGTCAGAAAAGGAACTTCTCATTATCCTTGTTCAAAGCTAGAGAGGCCCGAGAGATGGGCATCATTATATAATAACTCCCAAAGAGCTAGGGCAGGGGAGGAAACCCAATTCGGAGGTAAGGTATTTTTCTGGTGGGTTTTGTCGACCCAGTCGGCGACCGAATTGGCCTCTATAGGGCAATACAAAACATGGACTTTAGAGAGAGTGAACAGAATTTCCTTGCTTTTTCCAATTGGCACATGGGTTTCCTAAGTGAGTTGGTGAGGGCACGTGAGAGCATTGACCAAGATCCAGCAATCAGTCTCCACTTTAATCGCGTCATGCAGGGGAGGGGAAAAGCCATTCTCTTCATTTTGAGGAGAGAGAACGTAATTGAGAGCATCCTCTAAGGTGAGGGCTTCGACCACGAGAGGTGATGACGCGGCAACCATTTTCGCAGCTCCGTGTAGCAAACGACCAGCACAATCATGATATACCCAAGCAATTGACCCCTCCGTCGTCCCAGGTACAAAAGCCCCATTGATGTTAACCTTAAAGGTTCGAGTTGTAGGAGGTTTCCAGCTACCCGAGGCATTTCCTTCTTTGATTCCAAGTTTACTCGCTGAAAGGCTCCATTTTTTGAAGCTTCTGAGTGTGGTGAGGGCTGTTTAGACAACATTGCTCGGGTCTGGGGGTTGGTGTATGAAGATGGCTACATTTCTGGCTTTCCAAACACCCCAGAGCACCGAAGCAACCATGGCTAGATCTAGTAGGTTTGGTAGGTTGTTCTTGTGCTTCGATAGATTGCTGATCCATTATTCGATTCGAGATAATCCATGACTCGAAATTTGCAGGTTCAGCTCTGGATTTGCCTACACTGCCCTGGTCCAAGGACAAAGGAGGCATAGGTGCTCTGCCGTCTTACTATTCAAATTGCACAGGGGGCATAATGGGTCAGGTACAATCTTTCTTTGATACAAATTTTCCATCGTTAGGAGTGCATTCTGGCATATGTTCAACATAAAAAGCTTAACTTTTGAAGGGACTTTTAGCTTCCAAATGTCTGTCCCTAGAGCGTTAGGTGGGTGGTAAGATGTTGAGGCTTGCTACTCTTTTTGCTTGTTAGTTGATTCTCGAATGTAGTGGTAACCGCTCTTTACTGTATACTGCTATGTTTGTGCACCTGTCCACACAATTTGGTCTGTTTTTGTTTGGGGTCTGATTTGTGTTGCCAGTATTTCACAGATTGTTTGCTCATCAAAAAGCTCCCGTAGTACATTTTCATTTGATCTCCCCTCCTCCCTTTCTATTAGCCCTAATACAAACTGAGGTTCGTTAATGTTGGCTGGGCCAATTAGTACTCCTTTCTTCAGCCACTTGTCTTCTCTAGTTCTTATTCTTGTCCCATTTTCTACTGCCCACATAACTGAAGGAGAGATTGAATCTCTTCCCATCATCAAGCTTTGCCAACCCCAAGACAAGCATTGTCCCTTTTCTGTAAACCAAAAGTCTCTATGTGGAAAGTAGAGACCTTTGAAGAGGTTACCCCACAAGGAGTTTAGGTCGTTGCTTAATCTCCAAGCTTGTTTAGCCAACATTGCTTTGTTAAAGTCCAGCAGGTCCTAGAATCCCAACCCCCCTTTGTCCTTTCTTGTCTTCAACAGCTCCCACCTTTTCCGGTGAATGCCAGCTTTTTCTGATTAGTCTTCCACCAGAATTGTGCTATTTTATGTTCAATTGACTTACAAACTGAAACTGGGATTTTAAAAACAGACATAGCATATTGCGGTAGCGCTTACACCACCGTTTTAATCAAAATTTCTTTCCCTGCTTTGGACATTAATTTCTCCTTCCATCCTTTTAGTTTGGCGCTGACTCGTCCAATTATCCATGCAAACATTTGGGGATAAGTACAGCGCAAGTGCCATAACTTTTGCACGGAGGACACTTAAGTGCCATAACTTTTTTTTGGCTCACTTGAGTGCCATAACTTTCAAAAAAATGATCACCTAAGTGCCACTTACGAGCTGATCGTGAGGGCCCAAAACCGCGGCTTTTCTGGCCGAACGGTAACCTTCCCGGCGAGGCGAGCACCACCAGCTTGAAGAGGGGGTGTCGGTGAATCATTCCATGGCCTCCGTTCGTCTCGAAATTTCCGTTTTAGCCTCCGTTGACGAAGGTAAAAATGCTTCGTAGTCACACATTTATCGAGCCGATTTGTGTGACTACGAA